ATGTAATCCCCTCAGTGATTCATCATGAGTATGATTCCTCCTCCAGAGATAATGAATGCCATTACAAAATTGGGCATTTTGCATTTGTGTTACAGAGACAGTAGACATCTGAAACAAAAAGAGAAAAGAAGGGGTATGACAAAGGCCACTGGACTTTTGCACTTAAAGGATGTCATTAAATGTGTAAAATTACTGTACGGGAATTTCACCTGGACTTGCAAATATAGCGGAAAAATGTGACTCTAGCCACTATGTTTGCCTTCTGGGCTTTAACATAATTAACTGGCATAATCTCTGAAATGATGAAGCATAACTTTAATTTAACAAACGCATGCAGTTAGCTGGTCAACGAGGCATTAAATCACATCTTCTCGTTCAACTGAATCCAATCTTTTTTTCTGTCACAAACAAATGTGTGTTTGAAAACTCATTTTTAGCACAATTTGTTCATTATTCTCGGTAGGGTCTGTTTGAAATGTTGCCTGGCAGGCACCGTGTTAGGTGTGTAATTGATTATTTATTTATTAGATTATTGTGAAACCTTTTACTAGGAAGCAGGATTTGTGGGTTAGCGAGGAAGCAGGTTAAACCCTGGGTTTTCACTCTAACGACATTGGTCCACTTCTTGACGCAGCCTAACCAGCTGCAGAGCAGGTTATGTGTGAGATACATTATGTACAACGGCACCAGCTACAGACCAATCAAAGCACGGTGCGCTACACAAATACGACAATGTTAAAGTTATAATCTGGACTAAAAGCAACACGGTTTTAACTGAGAGAGGAAAGTACTGGACCGCCAGCCCAAAAACCTTTTTGATCCTCAAATGACCTATATATCACTAAAATAATAAAACAGCATTATATATATATATATATATATATATATATATATATAAAGATAATATATATATATATATATATTATCTTTATCTATTTATATCTGACATTCACTGTATTCGTGTCAGCTTCTCATGCTGCAGTGTGACAGGTTGAGGTCGTGCGCTAACTGTCTGGTAGACTTTATGCATTACCTTGTGTTACTCTCCTGGCAGGTGATTCAAAATTAAAGTAGGACTTCTTACCTGCTTTGAATCATTCATGCTGGTCTTTTATTTACTCCCAAGTCAATTTCACCCAGCTTGGGTTGCAGCTGCATCATTATGCCCAAACTTGTCATTCAAGCCATAACTTCCCCTCCCAGAAGGCGATTTGTTTCGTATCTTCTATTCTGGACTGATTATATATCCAAGCAACATATTTACTTAACAGACCCGACCCCAGATAAGCGGTTGACAATGAGATGAGATGGAATGAACAAAAACATATATGAATATAGGCAGAACTATTTGCTCCTAAATTATGATGAGGATTTTAGAAGCCTTTCGATTTACACATTCACACACTCATGAGTTTTTCACATTATTCACCTTTTCTCTATTCAATCATAAACCAAACATCCCACTCCCCATTTTAGCGCTGGTTTGGTTTTCTTGCTTAATTCAGGTGGTGCAAGAGACTGTATTAGGGCTGAATCATTGCTGATCTTGAGCCGTATTTAAATATGTTTGTATATTGCATATGTATATGTGTCGTACTAGCATGTAAACACGCATATAAGCCTCAGCATTTTACCCATTAGCTTGAATATACTCATTCATCCAGGCTTTAAAAGTGCTGGTGATGATGTAATGGTAATAATGGGGAAAATGTCTTAAAGAGGAAGCCTGGTGATGTCCGTTGTTTTCACATCTCCAGATTAAACATGAGGACAGGCTTGAAAGACGGGGGGGTCTATTTGAAGCGGCTTGAGTTGTGTGTTTGGGTTTCTGTGTGCATGCGTCGACTGTACAGAGTGTAAGGAGAAATAAATGTATCTGACAGGACAGGTGGCTCCATTGTGTCTCAAGCCATAAATTCAACAGCCACGGTTTTACGTATGTAGGACAGGGAAAGAGAGATGAAGATCAGCAAGAAATGTGAAAAAAGAAAAACGGTTTGTGCGCACATAAACGTAATCCAGATATAAAGAATAATTGTCTATCACATATTTTTCATAGTGTCATAAAACATCTAAAATCATAATTTTTCTGGCCAGCCTGATCTTAATGGACAAATTAAGATGAAGAAAGGAAGGGCAAAAAGGGATAAAATGCTGAGGCTGTACTTCCACCTTCCTCCTTTCATCGTATACGGACCCCTCATGCACTCAGTGCATCAGTAAGAAGCCCTGATGTCTCGGTTGTAACACTATGAACCATTTAGATAGGATCACAGGCGGGTTAAGAGGGGGTTAGAAGAGAAAATGAGAGGTCTGGATCACCTTGGGGCAGTTGTATGTTTCCTTGAACATCAAAACAAGTCAAATAAATATTTATAGCCCAGAGTCTCAGAGGACATCACAGTAGCAGCACTGGAAAGATGTTCTGAATAACCCTAAAAGTGTTTCTCAAAGACAAAAAGTTTAATAGACGGAGAGATTTTCCCACTATGACCCCGAAAATCAGTTTGCATGTATTTGATTGGGTTGGTCAATATAATAAGTGTTTTTTTAATGGCCAGATTTGCAGATAGTTTCATTGTGTGTACATTAAAAATAACTGGGCTCAGATCAGAACCTTGAGGCGCTCCACCGCCCATGTAAAGAGAATATCAAGCCTTCTGTACGAGTAGGAGGTTGATCCTACTGCAAGTCCGCCTGACTCAAGTCATTTGCAGACTTCATAAATACAAAGGGTCAAAGGGTTGGAGAAAAGTTTAATCGGGAACACGGTATCCGCGAGACTTGATGTGAGCTACACAAGTACACAAACAGCTTGTTCAATTTCACTGTCTGAGAGGAGGTTGCATTATCTCCAATTAGAGCGGAGCGTCTTGTGACTGCAGGTCGTCATCATGGGTTAACTTGACCAGCACAATGAGGCCCTTCACCACACTGACTTCAGACTTGAAGAAGATAGAATTGCCTTTGTTAACAGAGCTGAGGACTTATTAGCTGAGGATATTATAAATACACTCATGAGCATAGCTAGTAATAAGATACAAGATTTTGAAGATTCAGACGATTTAGTTTACAGCAGTTTATTTTCATGGTTCATATAAGTGTTCAAAATTCAAGTCAGATTTCTATGTTCATGTCCACATTATAAACAAATGATAACGAAACATTCCCCCAACTCAAACTGTTTGCGTCCCATTTAATGCTGCGTACAGAGTGAGCTCAAGATTCTCTTTCTGTTCAGTGAAAATAATAAAGCAGTCATCACCTCTTTGCTCTATTTCACAAAAATGACACATCAAACCCATTTAATCTTTGATCTCTACTTATCTTTGCCATCTATTTTACCCATTGCTCCTAATTATTAGTTAGTTAGATTAGTCTGTCTTTGGTCATCTTTCCAGTGAGATGTGTTTCTACACAAACCGTGCAGACTGATTGAAGGACGCCGTTCTACCCAGTGCATCAAAAAGTGTTCAATCCTTAGTGTGTGACGACTTGTGGCTCGGGTTTGATTGAATACAGCAACTTTACCGTTTGAACACGTTCTTCTCAAGATAACACCATCAAGGCCACTTATTCTAGTTGTGGTCTTTGATTGAACTGTCAAATGATTATTTTATTTGAAAATGTAAAACCTTGTAGTCTCCACACGTATTAAATGGGATTGTCTGATTTTCATGCAGGGTTTCTTTTGTTTTTGTTTGTCTTTTTATAACCTCTAACCCACTCACATTGGACCTGTTTGTTTGAATCAATGCATCATCTCAATATTTATTCATATGGTTTCTTCATGTTGTCATTTGATCCATGTTTACTAGAGTAGAGCGTCTGCAACATGGTCATAAGGTTATAGAGGACTTTGTGTATTTTAATTCAAAGCCTCTTGAACCCATGTGCTTGGGGACATATATATTATCATCCACTAATGCCACTGTATACTAAAAACGTGTAAGTAGTAATCAAGCTTGTGTTATTTTTGAAAATAAAACAGTTGCCAGCAAAATTAGATTAAATGGAAAAGTTTGGTGCATAACTTTATAAACAGTTCCACAATCCAGGCTTTCACATTCAGCAACTTGGCGATTTTTAGTCCAACTTGAAATACAATTCTGTAGGTTTGAACAATTTCAGCCCACTCAGAATGCATTTTTAATGATCCACCCACTGAGGGCTGTGCGTGCGCCGATAGGTTAAAGCGGAATTTAAAACATTTTGGGAGGAAAGTAACGCTAAAAGCGGAGAGACTGAGGATCGGCGTGCTGTGTTTCGCCACACGTGCACATTTGCGTCTGACGTGCGATATCGTGTTTAGCCTCCTGAAGGGGATGATGGCAGTGGAGGGCTTGTTTGGTCGTTCGGGATGAATATGAATCGTCGGTTTGTTTAAGTGACAGCAGATTGGTGAACAGATGGGTGACTCGGACATTGTAGCAGTAATCTCATCAATTTCTTCAAGAGTATTTCTTGTGTCTCCGTTGAGCCGTGTTTGTTGGACAGAATCGGCTCCGGCGTGATAATGGAACCGCCAACACAACACCCCTTTGAAACAAGTTGAACTCACTGGCCCTGATGCAATGTGGTTTCTAGCGGTTCAGTCTGTTGTCAGTCTTATGAGAAAAAAAACGAGATACAGCTTGTTTTAATGGCCTGGAGGGAGGTGGGGGGAGTGGAGGGGGCCACACAACCGCAACCTGGTGTCTGATGCCATGCTTGTCGAACTTCCAGTCGGGAAAGACTCCATGCCATCAATTTACACTGTGACCTTCTGCACAGACATAAACGTCATCTGCTCTGCTCCTGGCTCGATGACGGGGGTTATTTCAAAAACCAAATTCAATGACTGCTAATGAAATAGTTGTGATAACCGGATTTTCTCGTGGCAGCACAGTGAATCTCAATCATGCCGCGTTAAACTTGTTCGATTTACGTACATGCCGTGCGTCAATAGTCCCAAAGGTTTTAACCGGTTGCTCTCTTCCTGCCTCTGTTCCCTTCGCTAGATGTTGGAGCCCAACGTGGAAGACCCTTCCTGTGAACTGGGCGGAGTCGGCGGAGACCGTGGCGGCGTGTGCCTCCACCTGCCCCCCCGCAGCTCAGAAGGTGAGGACAGCAGCCTGTACCCCTCCAGTCCCTCGGAGCCCCTAACCCTGGGCAGCCCTCACCCCTCGGATCCTCTCACCCCTCTGGACGACATCTACATGCCCCTCGGGGGTCTGCTGGGATCCGAGGAGCGACACAAGGTGCCTCCCACGCCACCTCCTTCCACAGAGGGCGAGGATTGGAGGAGCATGGAGGGCAACGAGATGGAGATGTGGAAAGAGGCGAGTACTTTGGAGTACCGGAGAGGGGAAGAGGAGGACGATGGGGCCAGCAGGAAGAGTGCTGGTAGCGAGGGGGACGACAAAGAAGAAGAAGAAGGGGGTGATGAGGAGCGAGCGAGGCACAAAGAGGAGGCCAACCTCAACCTGGCGGTGTCGAACGCGGATGAGGACAACGCCTCGGAGCCGCTGGACACCAACGCCCCCCCCTCCTCCTCCTCCTCCTCATTCGTCATCCCCGAGCTGCGCCTCGATCGCTCCTTCAGTGCCGACGCCCTCTCCTCGCCCAACACCGACGAAGAAGAGTACGACGAAGAGGAGGACGAAGACGAGGAGTCCGAAGAGGAGGAGGAGGACGAGGAGGACGACAGCGACGACGCCTACCTGCAGCGCAGCGACAGCAAGCGGCGCAGCATGGTGGAGGGGGCCACCTGCGAGAAGCACGGAGGGGGCGGCCTCAGTGTGCAGAATTCCCTCCGCCGGCGCACACACAGCGAAGGGAGCCTCCTGCAAGACCCCCGCTCGCCATGCTTCACCTCCGACAACGCCATCAACTGCCTGGAGGCCGGGGGCGGGCACCACAAGGGCGGCTGGACGCTGCCGTCCCCTAAGACCCTGAAGAAAGAGCTGACCAAGAACGGAGGCTCCATGCATCAGCTGTGTATGCTGTTCTCTGGGAGGAAGGTAAGCAGTGAACACTGAAATAACAACATGAGTCGGGCATGAATGAGAAAGAAAAAAAAACACACACACACGCCAAAGGTAGGATTCGATCCGAGACAGAGCTCATTGTATTTACAGTCAATCTTACATTTAAAGAAAAATGTATAATACAGACTTTTGTGTCTCATCGCCAATGCGTCAGCGGGCCTGATCCGACAGCTGAGCTCTGTAAGAAGGGTGACATCGAGTGGTAAAAGAGAGCAAGTACACAAGAATCCTACGAGTCACTGAAGTCCGCGTGAATCTAACGGAAAAGACAACGGCCAGTGTGTTTTAACTAAGGTTGTATACAGGACAGTCTATGAATTTACAATATAAGTAATATTAACTGCACAAGAAAAGGCACTGAGCCTCAATTGCTTTTATATAAAGCTTTAAAACAAAAGCTCCCGCTGCTCTGCACAATTCATGCACTTCTCACTTAGAGGACATAAAAAACATCCCAAAACATGACACGAAAAACAAAACAAAGACACTAACGACTGAACACACCAGCTAGTAATCAACCATCCCTGCTTTCTCTTCACAAGGAAGCATAAGTATATTTACGCCTACATCAATACATCAATCATGTATGTGTGTAGTCAAAGTACACACATACATGATTGATGACTTTACATACAGCTTATGCTGTAAAGTACTTGTTGGCTGAGTGTGCAGTCTGAAAGTAGAGAGTTTTATTTGAAGAGAGCTTCAGAGACGGATTCTTGTCATCAGGTACAAGAAGCTTCCGTGCACTTATCGCTAAGAGTCTCATATAAAAGAGGAAATAGTCCTTGTATATGTTTTCTGGGTGACTTTGACTGAGCCGTTCATTCCAGAGCAGGTAGTAGTTGTTCTAGTTGTCCAACAGAGGGGGCTTGGTCCCCACCCAAGCGAGCTCTTTTCTCACTTCACTCTGGCCGAGGCTGAGCAAGGCATCATGGTTGAAGAATCAAACCAGCGTTTAATGTTGTTTTCTTACAATCTGTCAAGTGTTATTGTGCTGTGACTGGAACGCCAACCTGTACCATAGCTTGAACTGCACGCCCGTCACAGCAGTATGCATTTGGTGATGGGCCTCACAAAAAGGAGGAAATAGAAAAGGGTACCAGAGCTCCACCCACTACGCCCATAGAGCTACTGACACACAAACGACACGTGTGATCGAGTGCTCACTCTGTCATGGTTTCATCCGTCCCTCCTTCCACGGCTCTGTCAGCGCACACGGTAGCCTTAAATGGCAGTGTGTGAGCCGTGCAGAGGAGGAATGCAGTAGGCAGACCTGGAGCCTGTTGGTCTTGGCAGATTCGAGGGGACTTTTACTACCTTTTGGCGTCGGAGACTCTTTTTCCACCGTTATCCGAAGTGATTTCTCACCCCCCCCCTTCCCACCTCCTCATTCGTAAATCTTGTGCAGAAACATCCAGGTGCAGAAACAGAGTGTGTGAGTGTGTGTACAAACACATCTTCAAAGTGTATGAATTTGCTAATATTTAGTTCATACAAGAAGCTCTTAAAACTTTGTGGCTCTGGCTCTTTGTATTGTTGAAATTATGGTACAATTATCATCACTATGGATTTTATTCAGTCATCATGTCGACATTTATTGAAATGAACAATAAGCAAGACTTACAAAAAATGCTTTAATGCAGGCCAAACAGCGAGGACATGTTTAACTATTTTCAACTCTTTTTGGATTGTGTTGAATTTATAAATAATAAATGAGTCCCCGATTTGACTGAGAGAGAGAAAGCAGAGGGTCTGAGCACAGTACCCCCCCCCCCCCCTACTCTTATACTGTTTTTTTTCTTGCTAGGCAGTGTTTACTCTGGTCCCGTTTTTCTTCCGCTCTGCACCTTCTCCTCTCACTTGATGTCTTTAGTGTCTCTAGTATATTCAATGCAAGAAGAGCCAGAGACGGACAGAGAGCAGGACTCGAGGAATAATGTCACCTCGATCGCTGAAAACAAACTGTGTGATTCCTGTAATGGAAATGCCAAATGTGGTTCATATGTTACTGTTGAAAATAAAGGTGTAAAGTGTTTCCTTAACCCAAAATACCTGCGTTGTTCAAGACTATATCTTTCATATTTGTTTAACATTTGGTCTTAAGATTTGTCCTTTCACACAACATGAATATTTAGCCTCATATAACAGACAAAGTCAGCAGTTTGGACGGGAAACGTTTTTTTGTTTGTCAAATTTGAGAAAACCCAACAAGTAACGCTCACAAGCGTGGGACAAACACAGAGCTGGGGTGCATGATATGGAAATAGATTAGAATGTATACGTACTTGAAAACAGGTGTGTTAACGGATATGGCTGCCAGTGCTTACGCACGCACGCACACACATGCACACGCACACACACACACACACATGGAATTGACACCTGCCGGATCAATCCGAATGGTTGTAAAAAAAACCAGCCTTGTGACCAACGTTACCGCAGCGCTGTCTTACGGTTCTTGAGGTAAGGTGTTTTTTAACTGTGGAACGCGTGGAACATCTGCTTCTTTCCTTACGATACGATCTAGATGTGAAATGTGTAAAACTCTAGCTGGTTAAAGTTTTCACGTTTGAAAGTGGCAACAGGGAGATGAAGTTGGTCAAGATTGCTTGAGTAACATTCAGAATTCAGCACTGAAGAGCAATTTCCATTCAATGCACTGCACACAATAGCCCGTATATTATTTCTGATTAAAGCTGTAGGGCTACTGCACATTTTAATTAATGTTTTAAAGTAAATTAAATATTGCTGCTTTTGCCTGGTTTAAAAGAAGAGTGAAAAAAAAGTGAAAATGATCTCCTGAGAAACCCAGCATCCGTTGTCCTCAAAGTTACATCCAAAATATCAAAACCGATTCCCTAACATGGAGCAAAGTAACAAGAATTCAGTTGTTTGACATCTGGCAAAATAATAATATTTATTTGACCTTATTAAGATATCCCTTAGAACAGCATATTACACATAGGGTGAAGTACACAAAAATGAGTTCAGAACAACATGTCCGTATCAGACCTTTGGAGTACTGTCCCACCTCTTTCCTGGAGAAGTTGGATAAACAGCTTGCTATTTTAGGCCTACGTAGAAAAATGTTTGAGTACTATCAAGTTATCCTCGAGTAGCTGAGCTTCACGTCTAGACTCCCATCGGTCGTCCAAGACATCATCTGCCTAACCTCACCTCAAGGAGTCATTTGAAATATGAAAATTGCACCACACATACTTAGTTTTTTAGTGAATGCATTGTGGAAACAATTTAAAGTGAATTGCTTTGGGCCTCAAGTGCTGTTCTGCTCGATTTATGATGTGTACACAATGTACACAATCAGCGTGTATCCTTTGGCCTTGTTTCTAAGTGAATGTTCTACTGTCTCGAAGGGACAAGGGGTCTCCAGGGTTCAAATCCATGAGAGATGCAGCCAGGCTGAGTATGTCCAGTGAAATACTAAATGGGTAACATGTAAATATTTACTGAGCAAACTGAACCAGCTTCCAGGACAGTCAACACAGGTTCCAGTCCACCCAAGGATATTCTGACAAAAATGCAAAGGAACTGTTTGTGGTGTTTTCCGTCACAGTTCACAATAAAATGACCATGTTTACCTCTCCATACGTATTTGTATGTCTGTCTGTTTGTGCATCCGTTTGTTTGTATAACTAAGATACATTACACAGCCATACACAACCAAATAGTCCTCTAGAATTATCTTCCTGTTATCCCCCTCAACCCTCTCAATTTAAGTTATTTACAATCTCGGCTTAAACAGTCCCCAAACATTAAGATACAGGAAGTGAATGCACCTTTAAATCCCCACGCACAAGCACACGCTGCATTATATAGATAGTGTGAATAAAATTAAATAGATTGATCCTGTGGTAAAATTTGCCCTCCTTAGTTACTGTTGCTATGCTTGTTGGGCTTATGGATGTTGCACAGTGCATATGCTGTTGATTTGCAGTTTGATTTAAGTACAAACAGCAGGCTTCTCATTTCTCACCGACAACGCCGTTTTTTAGTGTCTGTCGACGGCCGTCCGTTGATTTGATCAACTGTAGCGGGAAAACTTAAATTTCTCTGATCAAAAAGACAAGGAAATTAGGGAGAATGATTAGAGAGTTATTCTTGTGTGTAAAGCTCTGGCATTTTAGCAGGATAATTACTAAAATTGTGATTACATCGTCCATGCTCTAACCTAGCGTTGTTGGGATGCTTACTACAAACAATACATGGGATTTAGGATTTATTCTTCCACTTTTTCAAGACAGGAGGCTTTGAGGATGATGACCTACTTGGAATGAGGGATGGTTGGAGTTACAAATGAATACCAGGACAGAGCAGCTTAGCCTGAACACTGACATAGTAGCATCCACCACCACACAGAGTGCTCCAGATTCTTCTAATATAATCCGTTAAATAATTTAGTTATCTTATAATATTCTCCTTGGCTGTGGAAATGGCAATAGGTCACTGATCACGTTGGCGCAGATACGTTTTTTTTCTTTTTTGGTTAGCGTCCTTTTTGCTGAACAGGCACATTTGCAGAGATGTATCTTCTGACACACTGAGACGCGAACATCACATTTGCTCGGTTTGGAAATAGCTGGCCGTGCTGCATCTCTGCTTATTACATTTCTTCCTTCACCGCCAAAGGTCATGATGAAGTTAAACTATAATATACATTATTTATGTACTATAATGATCAGATTTGATGTTTGCATATAACGAGGGCCTATACATAGGATAGTTGAATAGTTGATTCCACTATCTAGAGTTTAATTAAAAGGCTTTTTAAATGCAAAGTGCTCAAATGGGGGCTATTTTCATCCGGAAATTAAATCTGTTGGTTTCAGCAAACTTACTAACTCGGGACATGAGAGTTCAAAACCTCCCACACAAATTCTTCTTTGCCAGGGAAGCTCTCACATGGCCAAATAACTCTGTATACCTGCATTCTTTCTATGCCCCATTAAGCTCCTAAAACACTCAACTCAAAGGGCTGAGATAGCGTTCCTTTTTCTAACTCGCTGTATATTGTATATTGTTTTTTTTTATTGAGTGTGAAGGAGAGTGGGAACCTGCTGCTTCAATCCATTAACTCTGATATTCCTGTAATACGAGGCGAATGAGGGATGCGGCGGTCCCTGGCTCAGCATGACTCAAACGGAGATGATGACATAAACGTGACTAATGTAATAACTGAAAGGTGCCTTACGCGCAGCAGAGGGTTACATGCATACCGATTTAAGGGATAACGCAGCGGTTACTACCAGTAATCCCATGTCCTCAGTGACCTTTAAGTGGCAACGCTGCTCAGGGATTCCATGAGGCCTGATGGCCGGATGTCACTGCACTTATTAAGTGCAGTGGTGATGGTAAATGTGCTTTTACTTTGCTAGTCTGCTGACCACTCAAAGCGCTTTGACGCTAAATGTAATCCAACGTGCCCTCTTTCCCATCGGGACTATTTCACCATTTATACCCAATCAAAGTTTGGAGTATTTGGGGTACGCATCTACATAAACAGAGATCGAACCTCCGATCCTGCTACTGAGGGACTTCCGACCCACCTCGGTGCCCCACCATGTACACAGCCAGGACTTTGGAAGCTGTCAATGGTACAACAAAGCCCTCGGCTGAAGCCTAATCCAGGAGAGGATCCAGAAGGCCCCTAGCTTCCTAGCTACAACTGGCCTGTGTTTGAACGGAGGTGTTTACAGCGGCCGTTGCCATAGCAGTATTTTGGCTGATTTGGGAATCGGTTACATAAATGTAGACACACGCGTGCACAGAACACACAGGCACAAAACGCTCACACTTAATCTTTCCATTGCAAGTGTTCGAAGATCCCGAGTGTGACTTGACAATAGATGATGTGCTTTGGATAAACACAGTGGTAGACAGGCCATATTTAACACGGAGAGAGTGGCTAAAGATCCAGCTTCAAACCAGACAAACAAGTGAAAGCTTTGCCCAAAATGTATGTTATCTTTTATTAACAGATTGATGAAAGAGTCTTGAAAAATCCTGAGATCAGCGTTAGCAGTCGCCTTCAGTACCCGAAGTCAGCAATTCAACTTCTAAATGATCTTCCACCACCTATTTATAAAGCCTTTTGCTAGTTATTCAGCGTGGGAAGGATAGACAACATTTTATCCGAGTGCCGGTGTGTTCTGTCTCTGGAGTAAAAATTGTACATACAATAAGATAACGAGGACGCAATGTACTTTATCTTCGTGCCAGTCATGTGCTCCACATCAGCACGCCACCATTGGCTAGTTTTTTTAATTTTACACACACTCTCTCTCACACACACACACACACACACACACACACACACACACACACACACACACACACACACACACACACAGACAGAATCCCTCACACTCCACAGGTGGCAACAGTCAGGGTGAACAATGCTGGTGGGATGATGGGAGCTCACACGTTGTCCTCACAGGAAGGGAACAGGGTCAAGGGAACAGTGCGCCTTGGAGGCCGCGATAGGGAATAGTTCACTCCTTGCTGTTGGAATAAGGTGTGTGTGTTATGAAATAACACCTTAGTTGAACTTTCAATGTAGCAGTCACCTAAGGGATGTTGCTGCCAGCTGTTTCCTGCTGGGATTTAAAAACAAAATTGTTGTGTGTTCCAGAAACTTCGATTCAGTGGCATCAACCATAATCCCCTTTCAGTCCGCCAGCCTCATTGTGCCTGTCTGGAATTATTTTTAATAGTTCATTATAATTTATGGAATGAATAGTAGGAGCAGAATAAAACTTTGGCTTAAATACTATAAATAGTTCAAATGACGTTTTTAGGCCTAGTAAGTTATCTTCAAAAATGTGTTATTTGAGACAGTGGGAACTTCTCTAGAGCTTTTGTTTGGGACATTTTGTTCATTAAACAAGTGATAATTCCCTGGCTCTGCTTTGTGCTGTTTTTGTCTGAGGCTGAAATGATAATCCGCAAAAACATTTAGACTTTTAGAGGTTGTAGTCAAGTCCTTTTTATTTATTTTTTACCATACAATGGACTTTTTCTGCACGAAAAATGAATGATTCTGTGACAAACAAATGCACTTTAAAACCAATCCAGTGAGCCTTGTAGCTTCACACAGAAAGTCCAAGAAAATCTTCAATCTGGCCCGTCACTCCAAAAATAGAAGCCAAGTCCGATATATCATGACTGCTGTGTGGAGTCTACTTTGACTACGAGGTGAAGCACAACCTTGACACGAGCGCCTGTATTCCTCCGGCTGCCACGGCCGGACCCCCACTGGCAGCAATCCTCCCCATCCCTCCCGAATGCCACAGATCTCCTCCTCACATGGTGCTCTCCAAGAACTCCTTCAATTCCTGTGACTCATAATTGAGCAAAAGCAGAACGCTTTACCATTTTTCCTTTCTTCCCCGGCGGAGTTGTCGGGACGGACTGAATGGGAGTGGAATTTGTGGAGGGATTTGCAACCAGTCGAAATGTTGCAACATCAAGACAGTGTGACCATGTGACGGACGTCACTCGCATAAAATGTTCAAAAACAGAACTGCAATAAAGCACGAGCCGTGTGCATCTCTGGTGATGCGGGATATTCCACAGTGACGCACCCCCACCCTCGTAATGGGAAAATAATAGCAGCAATGTTGTGATAAATATATATACATAATATGAAGTCATTAAACAATGATGCATTGTAAAGAGTTAACCCCAATATCTGTGGTTGTGGCTGAAAACAACAACGTACGCGTTGTGTGTGTCACGGCGGCATTGCCGTAAACGCATTGCCTCTCCCCTCCATCATGATCCTTCTAATAATGGTTTATTTTAAAAGTACAGATGTGAGAGCGTAGTTACAACAATGACTAAACAAGGATGTTTGGGTTCTGTCGGGAAACTAACCTTATAAACCATAAACAATTAAACTAATCATGCTCATCATATTTTTTTTTTCTTTTTTTTCGCTCTTTTGCAGGATAGATGACCATGTTAGCGGCATGTGTCACTGACATTTTCCCAGTCTATTGTATCATCTTTGCTAATAATAAATCCGTCATCTTTGCTAATCGCTTTTCTGCCAAAAACAAAAGTCTGGCTGCAACGTATCGCTCGCTTTGGTCAAACAGCAGAACTGTCATTAAGCTTTTGAAGAAAAAAAAAGGGTGTAACTTACGCAGCCATCGTTGCATAAAAAGAAAATATATAGTCATGCGGGCTGCAGCCAATTGGGATTGTGCATAACGACCAACTTCGTAAAGGCCTGTAAGGCCATTGAAATTCGTTGGTCAGAAAATGCCAGTCAAATTTTAATGGAACCAGAACCAGATCTTGAGTGACCTGACGGCTTTTAACCTGACGGCTTTCCACCAGCAGATCAGGAGTGAGGTTTGCGTTTGCATTGTTCATTAACATCCGGGGAAATGGGAAGTGCTCATGCAGGAAGCAGCCATCTCCTGAGCGGTGCTGAATAACAGGAGGAAGAGGAGAGGCGGATCGAGACACATGCACACACATGCCCTCTTTACCCATGTGTGGTAAAATCACGCACACGCAAGCTTGCAGACAATGCACCATTGTATCTGCTCTCATTCTGTACTTTGACTAAGAATGAGT